TGCCCTGACTTCTCCATCATTCCTGGGGCTCATGCCTGGTCCGCTCCCATAGGTGATGGCAAGGGCTGGGTGCCAGGTGGTGAGGAGAAGCTGTTCTCTGCTGCCTCCTCTCAAGAGAGCCCTGAGAATGGCACATGATTCTGCACACCTGGGGCTCCAGTCTCAGGGTGATGGTGGGTTGCAGTCACCTCCGAAGAAGAACCCCAGGTACATGAACCTGAGTCTCCCCTTGGACGGGACTTTCACTCACCCACCTGCACACACCCACTCATGCAGATAGTTTTTATGGACACTCGCTTTTGCGGAGACTCTCACACTCCAACCTGTTCTGCCGCCATCTTGCCCAGAAGCCCACAGATGTGTCTATATATTCCAAAATTATATGTAGTCATCTGCTTTTGCATTTTTTCTTTTAATTTGGATTCTTTTTAAAATTATATTTAATTTACTACTCTGCAGGAATTTACTTTGTGTAGTATGACATACTGCTCTAATATTAATATTTTTAAGTAATTGCCTATTTTAGTCTCAAATTTTAAATATTTCATATTTGCCACACTAATTATGTGAATTATGGTCTTTCTAATATAATCTACATATATTTATATACATTTTAATTCATTTTTATTCATTTTTTTACTTTTTAAAAACAATCGGTATTGATTTAATATTTTTCAAGGACAGTTTAAAGAATAAATCTTCTACTCAGGTAGTTCTAAATTTCACTAATAAAATTCTATTTTCAAGTAAGAACATGCTGTTACCTTTCACATATAGGTTCCATTAATTTTTCTGGCCCAAGACATATCACATGTTAAAGACAATACTTGCCTGAAAATCTATTTCCCAGAAGCCACACCTTTTTGTTTTTAATTATCTCTGGTCATTATAGCTTTTTTTGTTGAGCCATTGTGCAATAACATTTGGCAGGTTAACGCTAGCCTTTGTTTTACTGTTATTTTGTTCTCATATTATCCAAATGTATATCCTTCAATACTTTACACTGATTTTTTTCTAGTTAACTAGCAAACAGTATTTTCCTTCAAATCTTTACTATTTCTTTGTAAATAGTATAATACAAAAGTATCAGTATAGTTCTTTTACCATTATTCATAATGATAAAATGGCAAATTATGTTAAGATAGAATTCAACTAAACCTCATAATTTAATCACATCATAATGTGGGGTTTTTTGTTTGGTTGGGGTTTTTTTTGGTTTTGTTGTTGTTGTTTTGTTTTGTTTTTTTGTGAGAACTTGTGTGGTGGTGGCACTTGCAAGCTCCTCAGGAAGCTGAGGCAGGAGGATTGCTTGTGCTTAGGAGGTTGAAGCTGCAGTGTGTCATGATTGTGCCATTGCACTCCAGCACGGGTGACAGAGTGAGACTCTGACTCAAAAAAAAATTTTTAGAGATATTTCTAAAGTAATAATAAAATAAGAATGATGCTTATAGGATTTGAGGCTGATTAAATGAATTGGCATATGTAAAGAAGGACTTAGTACTGCCTGACACACACAAAGCATTTATAATGTGTTCTTAAATGATAAAACTTAGTGTTTCCTTTGAAAGACTATGGGCTGCAGTAACTAAGAAAAAATAGCCATTATATTTAACATTTGGCCATAAAACTTGACTAAATTGTTGGAGACAAGGGACTACAAACTCATTAAAGTTCTAAAATAAATCAATAAATAAAATTATTGGAAATTTTCTACAATAATTTGTGTTAGCATTATATTTAGTCTAAGAAAAATTTTGGTTCTTACGGTTCTCCCTTAAAAAACTCTTTTAAAATTATTCTTTTATATTTGTCACTTATATACTTTCAAAAAATAGACTTTTTTCTGTTCTGTTGTTCTCTATTTTCCCATCCAAGTACTCACCAGGCCTAACTGTTTAGCTTCCAAAATCAGATGAGATTGGTGCATTCAGGGTGGTATGGCCATAGACTGGTTTTCTATTCTCAAATACATACTGTGCTGTTTTATTTTTAAGCTTTATAACTATCTTATTTTCTTCATCTTCCAAGTCTCCATCATTTTTTTTCATTTTCAAAACTTCTTTGCTATTCCTATCCATTTTCTACTAATTAAATTTGCAAAGATCTTAAAACATCCTGAAACATCCTTTAAGTATTTTATGTAGAATTTCATTAAGTATTGGATACTCTGAGAAAAACTGAAATTTCTTTTACTATTGTGCATCTCCCCTTTTAGGAATATGTTATGTTTATCAAGAAGTAAGTTTAAGTCTTCTTCAGTTGTTTTAAAGTTCTTCATATAATCCCTACTCATTTATTGTTAAATTTATTCCCAGGTACTTATATTTAGTGTAAATAGATATTTTTACTTAAACTATTTATCATCTTTTATTGATATAATACTGAAAAAGCAAATTATTTGTATATCTCCATGTATAACTAATTGATTGTTGAAATCTCAATTTTTTTCTAATACTTTTTCAGCTGATTCTTGTGAGCTTCTTAGGAAGTTCTTCTTACAGTTTTTCTTAATAGATTGAAATCATATTTTTATTTTCTTCTTTATTGCATAGAATAAAATCACAGTAATATTAAGTTTTAAGGGTAGTAGTATAATTTTTATTTTAATGATAAGACCATTAGAGTTTTATTTTGTTTTGTTTTGTTTTCTTTTTGAATTTGGTCACCTAGGCTGGAGTGCAATGGCATGATCATCACAGTTCACCTCCTGGGCTAAAGTCACCCTTATACCTCAGCCTCCTGTGTAGTTGGGACTACAGAGTGTGCCACCACACCTGGCTGATTTTTTTATACAGATAAGATCTCACTATGTTACTCAGGCTGGCCTCAAACTCCTGGACTGAAGGTATCCTTCCATCTCTGCCTCCCAAAGTGCTGGGATTGCATGTGTGAGCCCCTGTGCCTTGCCTGAGTTTCAACTTTTATAGGCTTTCTGCTTATTTGAAGTATTCTATATCTCATCTCATTAAAGAAGTATTTTTTTCTTCCAGGTTTACCAATAGATAATAGGTAGATAACTGTTTTCAATTTTGTCTTTCTGTTGTCTGTTAAAAGAGTATTTTAAATGTTTATAAAGACTCACTTGTAATATATATTATCCTTGCTGGGTTTGGTGGCTCAGACTGTAATCCCAGTACCTTGGGAGGCTGAGGCGAGTGGATTGCCTGAGCCCACGGGTTCTAGGTCAGCCCAGGCAACTTGTCGATACCTCATCTCTACAATAAATCAAAAATTAGCTGGGCATGGTAGCACGCCTGTGGTTCCACCTACTTGGAAGGCTGAGGAGGAAGGATCGCGGTAGCCCAACAGGTTGACGCTGGGATGGCTGTGAGCATGCCACTGCACTCCAGCCTGGGCGGCAGAGTGAGACTCTAACTAAAAAAAAAAAAAAAAGATACATTATCCCAGTAACCTTTTAAATTCTGAACCAGCATTGCTTTTCCTTGTTCATAATGCTGTATTAATCTTCTATATAAGCAAACTAACTTTTTACTTTAATTTTTGGTTCTATTATTCTTGTAAATTTACTAAGTTCTATTTTATATTTAATAATGCTCTAAATAAACTATTAAAATGTTTAGGATATCGATTTGTTTTGCTTTTTGGGGGCAACTTTGTGATTTAGGATATGACTGATTACTGAGGGACAAAAATAATTGTTAAAAGCTATTGTAAATGGCTCAGAACAAAATTATGTCCCCTAAATGTTTACACAGAAGGTTGTAGAGTTTTTAATTATTATTTCCTCATAGCAGTGCCCACCAGGGAATTGCTTCTAAGTGCAACTGCAAGATATCCATAGGCCACAGTTGACAAAAGATTAACTTAGAAGGACATAGAGAAAATATAGTTCATCATCAGGGCAACATTGATCATTTCTTTTTGATGTGAGTTGTACTTGCAGCATTCATTTAGTATATAGATGACATGCAAAGAGATGATATCTATATTGGGTGAGTGTCAGAACCTGCCTGACTTAGAGGTCTAATAACCCAAAGGAATCAATAGCTCTTGTAATAACTCCAAAGGTATAGCTTTCAGGGACCCAAAAGGGTCAGAACAAGTCACAAAACTCACTGAGTTCAGAGAAGCTCAATGACATGGCTTTTTTTCATGCATTATTTGTTCTCCCAGTCCAAATTACATCTACCACTCAGAAGTTGTTTTACTACCAGCAGTGTTGTCTAGAAGCATAGTAAACATTCATCTTTCTAATGTTTCCAGAACAGAACTATAGACTAAGCCAAATGCAAATTCCTATTCATGTTATAAGTTTACTTAGAAATATACAACCAAGCAGGGCACAGAGGCTCATGCCTATAACCCCAGCACTGTGAGAGGTGGAGGTGAGAGGATTGCCTGAGCCCAGGAGTTTGCGATCAGCCTGGGCAACGTGGGGAGATCTCGTCTCTACAATAAATAAAAAAATTAGCCGGACGTGTTCGTGCGTGCCTGTAGTCCCAGCTACTTGGGAGGCTGAGGCAGAAGAATCGCCTAAGCCCATCAGTTCAAGCCTGTAGTGGCCCCAACATGCCACTGCACTCCAGTCAGAGACTCTGACTCAATAAATGAATGAATAAATAAATATATAAATAAATATACAATCAGTCTTCTATGTCTGTTGGTTCTACAACCATAAATTCAATGAACTACGGATCAAAAACAAAAATAAAAAATAATACAACTATAAAAAATGCAAATTAAAAACTATGCAATAGACAGCTATTTACATAGCATTTGCACTGTATTAGGTGTTGTAAGTATACTTGAGGATGTGTATAGGTTACATGCCAATACCATTATATATAAATTATATATAAATGACTTGAGCATTCCTGGATTATGGTATCCACATGGGTCCTAAAACCAATCCCCCACAAAACCAAGGGGCAACTATATGTTCTATTATTTTTTGTGCAATCAGTGTTTCTTATCCTGTCTATGTAAATTAGAATTCCAACCTTAAACCTGCTTCTTAATTGTTCTCCATATTTTTGCAGGTAAAATATGGAAACTATGCTTTTGTATGGGATGCAGCTGTATTGGAATATGTGGCTATCAATGATCCAGATTGTTCCTTTTACACCATTGGAAATACTGTGGCTGACCGGGGGTATGGAATTGCATTACAACACGGCAGTCCTTACCGAGATGTTTTCTCACAAAGGTAAGATTTGTGTTTGCCCCAAATAAGGAGAGAAGAAACTTATACAAAGAAAATTCACTTGGTTACCCAATTTGGTGCATTACATTTTGTATTCTTTGTTAGGAGAAGAGCAATAAACAACAGAAAAAGAACAATAAACAACGAGAAAAAGTAGTGGTTGTTTGAAAATACATTAATTTCCTAAAGCATGTACCGAAGTGTTATTTTTACCATAAATAAAGGGAGGGGTATTGCTACATATAACTGGTTTTTTTTTGGTTTTTTTTTTGAGTTGGAGTCTCACTCAGTCGCCTAGACTGGAGTGCAGTGGCCGCTCCTGGCCACCGCAGCCTCGCCTGCTGGGCTCCGGCGATCCTTCTGCCTCAGCCTTCCGAGTAGCCAGAATTACAGGCGCGCGCTACCACGCCCGGCTGATTTTTTGATTTATTGTAGAGATGAGGTCTCGCTGCCCAGACGGGTCTCGAACCCGCGGGCTCAGGCAATCCAATCACCTCAGCCTCCCAAAGGCGCGGGATTACAGGTTGAGCCACCGAGCCCAGCTCATATAACTGGTTTTACTCACAAAAACTTGATATTGAAAAGAAAGTAGGTGTGTTAGTAATTTCTATTAAAATTAAACTAAGCACTCTAGTCTGAATTTTTAGGGGTTAAATGTCACGGAGTTAGACAAAATCTAATTCATTTCTAAAAACACTAAGGCATAAAATAAACTCCAGGATCATGTTAAAGTTCTAATGTACTAAAGCACATAATGTTTCCATCTGAATTTTGCAAAGGAAAGGGGTAAGAATTTAGTGTCAAAATACATATGATTTTGTCATGGAATCAGAGAGATACCTATTAAGACATTATACCCCTTCTTAAGTACAAATTTTCTCTTATAAGGGAGTTAAGAAGAAAGGTTTCAAAATATCTATTTTAGATTAACAATGTATTTGAAAGACTTGGACCAAAAGAAATTTGCAAACATCACTGCATTTTATTCTATCTACTACCAAACAAGCTTGGACCTAAGATAGAATAATATCTTCCAAGCAGGAGTATATTTCATCTGATGTTGATAGTAAATTTTATTTTCTAAATTTTCTTTTACTTATTCTCTAAAAACTAATAATAGGCCAAGAGGGCAGTTCAAGATAGTACTAAGGACCCAAATTTCAAACTATTTGAATTTTAGTTCTCCAAATTTTAGTATAACAAAAAGCCAGGCATTTTATGTTTTTATTTTAAAAGAACTAAAAATCATTGGCCACAATTTATGTCATAACTCTTCTATTAGCTAACCATAAAACTCTAGACCTCTGCCCTTATCTGTAAATCAAGGAAGTTATGTTAATTCTAGGGTCCTGTATTTTCTGCTTTGCTATGTAGCAAACAACTCCAAAGTATCAGTGATGAAAAATAAGTTATTTCTCATTCACCAAACATGAGGGCTATGACCTGACAATGTTTTACTGCAAGCTGTGGGTCAACTGCAAGTCTGCTTTTTCGTTTTTTTTTTTTAATCAATAATTTTTATAATGGTTTTGTGGGGTACAGTTAAGGGTTAGGTGTACAATTACATTTCATTCAGGCACCCTGTTGATAAGAGGTGTTTCCTCATCCCCAGACAGATATTTGCTACTGTTAATCCCATCCCTCCCCATAGTTTCCCAGTACCGTAAGTCATTTTATTATAGTATTACATTGGATGTTCAAGGTTCATTATATGAGTGAAAACATGTGATACTCGGATCTTTGTTTCTGTGAGAGGTCACTCAGTATTATAGACTCTAGTTCCATCCAGGTTGCTGCGAAATTCATGATTTTGTTCTTTTTTATGACTGCATAGTATTCCATCATGTATATGTACCACATTTTTTTTTAATCCAGTCCTCTTTTGATGGACAGCATGGTTGCTTCCAGGTCCTTGCTATTGTGAACAATGCTGCGATAAACATACATGTGCAGGTATCTTTTTTATAGAGTGATTTGTGTTCTTCAGGATATATTCCCAGTAGCAAG